ATTTTACCCGTTACGTCTGCTGAGAAACTAGGGTCAGGACCCAGAAACTTTGCTGTGTCTCCGGGTGTTTGTTTCCTCCTTTGATGGGTCATTTCCTTTTCTCCCTTCACATCCCCGGCCGCATTAAGATGACAAATTTTACTCCCAGGCTCGGGCACCGCCGCCGTGAAAACCTGAGCCGTTGAGCTAACAGAGAGAGTGCAGAGGGAGGAAGATGGAGCCCTATTTATTGCGGGGAGGGAGAGAGAGAGCATGTGGGGACCCCCGAGGCATCTGCGAGCCGGGCTCTGCCTTGGGGCTCACACGGATGGCCAGACTGCTCTAAGCCTGTGATCAGCAAACCGTGGCTCTCGAGCCACAGGCGGCTCTTTGGCCCCTTGAGGGTGGCTCTTCCACAAAACACCACGGCCTGGGCGAGTCTATGTTGAAGAAGTGGCATTCGAAGAAGTTTAAGTTTAAAAAACGTGGCTCTCCAAAGAAATTTCAATTGTTGTCCTGTTGATATTTGGCTCTGTGGACTCATGAGTTTGCCGACCGCTGCTCTCCAGGGTGGAAGAGAAATGTTCAGTTAATTAAGCAACTTTTTAAAAAGCCTGTGCATATATCCCAGAATGCATTGTGAGCAGATGACTTTACTTACACATGAAATTTGTGCAAGGCCGTGGCTCTCACAGCCCTGGCTTCCTTCATCCAGAAGGATGGCCAGTCTAATTAGTATCTTACGCTTTTATTATAATAATAATAATAAAGTGGGCAGGAGTATTGAGGGTGAAATAGGCAGAATAAAGGTGTGGGTTTTTTTTGTTTTTTTTAAATCCTTATCCGATGATGTTTTTTCATTGAGTTTTAGAGAGAGTGGAAGAGAGAGGGAGAGACAGAGAGGAACATCAATGTGCGAGAGACACATCGATTGGTGGCCTCCTGCATGAGCCTTATGGACCAGGGTCTGAACTGGGGAAGAGCTGCAACCAAGGTCCATGCCCTTGACTGGACTCGAACCCGAGACCCTTCGGTCAGCAGGCTGACGCTCTATCCACTGAGCCAGACCAGCTAGGACAGTTGTCAGCAAACTGCAGCTCCTGATTCACATGCGGCTCTTTGGCCCCTTGAGGGTGGCTCTTCCACAAAACACCGCGGCCTGGGCGAGTCTATGTTGAAGAAGTGGTGCTAGAAGAAGTTTCATTTTAAAAAACGTGGCTCTCCAAAGAAATGTCCATCGTTGTCCTGTTACTATTTGGCTCTGCGGACTGATGAATTTGCAAACCACTGTGCAGGGGCAAGAAGGTTTTACGTTCCTCTCTGTCTCTGAGCTGTGCGATGCCTACGGCTCTTTTCCCCGGCCTCCCTTTCTTAGAGGGGAAGGAAAAAAAGAAAAAAACCTTGGCCGGCACAGAGCGAGTCCGTCCTATCCAACATGACCGCATTCCAGGCCCAAATGTTCAAAGTCCGAGAGAGATAAAGGCTTTGATGGGAAGTGGATGCTTCCCAGGGACGCGGTGAGCAATGATCCAGATGTTCCGCTGTCCTGCTGGCGGCCGGCTCCCGGCCCTCCCAGGCTGCCCCGCCATATGGAACCTCTCTCCCAGGCCCCTTGACGACCGGCTTTGGATCCCCTTCTCACAGAGCTCATCGAGCTAAGCAGGGCTGCTTTTCGGACAGGCTAGATAGAAGCCCTTCCAAGATAAACATCCCATTCGAAACGAGGACATACCGAGCGCCCCGGAATGCTTCTCAGGACATATTTCACGGAAACACGGCCATTTCTCTCAGGCGGTTGCCAGACTGCAGGCTGCTGCCCTTTGATCTCCCGTGGACTCCACTCCCTTCTTCGGAAAAGAGGGTTTTGAAATAGCTTCAGTGCTCAGGGAGGCATCTATCTGTCGGAGCTTTGAAGAACTGGCCACGGGACAGGGCATGCATTAGCGGGCTGTTTGGCCAGTCAGAGTTTGGGAAGAAAAACACACGCAAAACAGGAAATGGCAGCGGGACAGATGAATCAAAATCCCATTTTCTTTGTAAAGGGAGAAGCTCTCGGCCTGTGGGCTGTCTGAGCTCTCCCGTGTCTTCAGCATAGCTACATCTGTACGCACACCTATAGACATATAAACACACATGCTTAGATGTTTACATACGTGTCCGTCTGTCTGTCTACAGATGGTGCTGGTGTTTGTTGTCTTTAAGGAGTAGGAAATGGTGGTCCTAGCTTGTTTGGCTCAGTGGATAGAGCATCGGCCGGTGGGCCGAAGGGTTGCAGTTTCGATTCCAGGTCAAGGGCACAGGCCCGGATTGCAGGCCCGATCTCCAGTAGGGGGCGTGCAGGAGGCAGCCGATACATGATTCTCTCTTATCATTGATGTTTCTATCTCACTTTCTCCATTTCTCTCTGAAATGAATAAAAACAGTTTTTTGTTTGTTTTTTTTAAAGTAGACAATTGCTGAGCTTTTCACTATTTTATCAGCTTTCTTTCTGGAGTATATTCAATCCACAACCCAAAGGCAGATAGAAGTTACAAAATAAGGTTTACACTGAGTGGCCAGATTATTATGATCTCTGACGCATAATAATCTGGCCACTCTAAGATATATATATATATATATATATATATATATATATATATATATATATATATATATATATTAGAGGCCCAGTGCATGAATTTGTGCATGGGTGGGGTCCGGCCTGCCTGCTGGTCGAACTCCTAGTTGAGGGGACAATTTGTATATTAGGCTTTTATTATATAGGATATACACTGAGTGGCCAGGTTATTATGGGTTCAGAGGTCATCCTCATCTGGCCACTCAGTGTATATTCTCCAGTGGAAAGGGATTTTTCTTCTCTTTAAAATTAATTGTTTTCTTGTCTGCCCTCCCTTCTCTGTCTCAGCACGTATAAGAGCTGTGTGTGTGTGTGTGTGTGTGTGTGTGTGTGTGTATGTGTGTGCATGTGTGTGCATTTTATGAGAACAGCGATATGAGTGTGAAGTTTGGGAGAATAGATACCCTTAGTGTTTAAGGTGGTTATAAAATGATCCACGGAATGCATGGAGTAGCCTGTTGCATCATTTCTTCAACAGAGCGCCGTGTGCCGGATGAGGTAAGCCGGTCTGTAATTAATACGGCCCGGACATGCCATTTGTTGTGATGAATTGTGACGAACTGGCGTCCCAGCAAATTGGTGTCTAAACGGCCTGGGAGATATATTGAGCCGATGACAGGATGGATATATAGCGTTAGAAATTCATTGCTCTGCTATGATACTTGGCGCCATTTACATTCCTCAGTCCATTTATTCCTCCTTCAGAGAGAGCCGGCGATGCCTGCGCCACTTCATTTAGTGAGCGGAGAGCTTCAATGAACTCCCCCAACCAAATGAAGTGTGTGGGTGCCATTGGCACCTGCACCCAAACTTACTAACCATAAAAAAGACAGTGCTGAGACCGTCCGCGAGATGTAAAGATGCCCTGGGTACTGAACGATATTAAGGGAGTTATGGCTACGTTTGTTGAGCATCCTGCGTACAGAAAAGCAAATGTGGGCCCTAGCTGGTGTTGCTCAGTGGGTAGAGCATCAGCCTATTGTCTGAAGGGTCCCAGGATTGAGTCCAGTCAAGGGCACATGCCCAGATTGTGAACTCGGTCCCCAGTGTGGGGCATGCAGGAGGCAGCCCATCTCTGATTCTCTTTTATCATAGATGTTTATCTCTCTCTCCCTCTCTCTTCCTCTCTGAAATTAATGAAAATATATTAAAAACAAACAAACAAACCCGTATGTGGAGTTTTCTTTCCAATATTTCAGCCATAAGTGAGTAGTAACGGGATGGATGAAATAAGATTGGCAAATCCTTGACTCTGGTGAATAAATCCGTGGAGATTTCATATACTGTTGTACCTCCGTATGTGTTTGAAAACTCACATAATGGAAATTAAAGTGTGCTTGTCCTCTGGATAATTTACCAGTAGGGATGTTTGCCTTTTTCTGTATTTGGTTTAAGGCCATGGTCGGCAAACGGCTGCTCACGAGCCACATGCGGCTTTTTGGCCCCTTGAGTGTGGCTCTTCCACAAAATGCCACGGCCTGGGCGAGTCTATTTTAAAGTGGCGTTTGAAGAAGTTTAAGTTTTAAAAATTGGACGCTCAAAAGAAATGTCAATCGTTGTCCTGTTGATATTTGGTTCTGTGGACTCATGAGTTTGCCGACCACTGGTTTAAGGCGTGTATGAGTGGGCATGAGTACCATCATTTAGACAAGGAACAAAATAAGCTAATAGTTACTGAACTCAACTGTCCTGGTTCCAGGTACTGTGCTTTATTCATTATTTCCTCTCCTCCCCCCACCACCCTCTTTCTTCAGAGCTCATCTGGCTGGCCAATCCCATGCTCTGTCTGGAGCTATGACTCTCGAAAGGGATGATCTTTTTAGTAATTACCAGGGAATAAAGGGGCATGGGGACAGATTCAAGTGTGAAGGATAAACTCAAAACCACTATTTCTGCAAGGCTGGTGTGGCTCAGTGGTTGAGCGACCACCTATGAACCAGGAGTCATGGTTCTATTCCCTGTCATGGCACATGCCCCAGTTGCAGTCTCCATCCCCAGTTCAGGAGGCAGCTGATGCATGATTCTCTCTGATTGATATTTCTCTCTCTCTCTCTCCCTCCCTCTCTCTTATTCTCTGAAATATGTATATTTTAAAAAGAAACACACACACCACTATTTCTGAATGCCCATAGACATTTCATTTCCCTACAAAGCAATGCCTTGCCCTTATACCTCTGTTTCCCAGAATGCCTTTCTTCCCTTCCTATCCTTAAAAATAGCCGAAGGCCCAGCTGAAAGATGCCTCCCAAAGAGCTGGGCGGGAGGACAGGCCGGTGCCCAATGGCACTGTCGCTCGCATGCACCTCTCCCCATATCCATCCAGGCAGGGCTATGGCCGCCAGCATCACACTCAGGGGTCACCGGCGAGCTGACCTCTCTCTCTCCTCTCTGCCTTTCGCTCCAGTCCTCGCTGATGCGCAGCCTGCGGCTCTCGGAGGCCCTGAGGAAGAACCAGCTATGGAACGGCATCGTGAGCATCACGCTGCTGGAGGGAAAGAACGTGGCAGTGGGAAACGTGGCCGAGATGTTCGTCCTCTTAAAGCTGGGGGAGCAGAGGTACAAGAGCAAGGTGAGTGGCCAGGTCTTAAAGGAGAACAGCACCTTAAAATAGAAATTGGTATTCCTTCTGAAAAAAAAAAAAAAGCCTTCCCACTGTACACGTCTACAAGAATAGAAGTCATTTCTTTTATTTATTTATTTATAAATATATTTTATTTATACAGAGAGAGATAGAGAGTTAGAAACATTGATCAACTGCCTCCTGCACGCCCCCTACTGGGGATGTGCCCCAAACCAAGGTACATGCCCTTGAGCGGAATCGAACCCGGGACCCTTCAGTCTGCAGGCCAACGCTCTGTCCACACCGGTTTAGGCTAGAAGTAGTCATTTCTCTTTAACCCTGCTAACTATGTTCAGATTATTCCAGAAAGCAAAATAATGGTATAGATACAATTAGTAGGAGTACCGGCTAAGTTTATTTTAGTTCCATCCAAGTCACTGGAGCTGGTGAAAGCTCATTAAATAATATATTTGAATGCATGATTTATTTTGTTTGGAAAAGAAGCAAAAACTGTGTTTCGTAGAATGCGGAAACAGATAACTAAATGCCTTCAAACTGTAACAAAAATAAAAGAGTAATATATGTTTACTCTTGGGTTACAGTATTTGTGATAACTAAAAGTATTTTCAAAATTATATACAACTTTCTTTCTCTTTCTTGTTAGTATTTATATGAAAAATGGACTTTGAGTGCTGCTGTGTTTTTTTTTTTTTTGTTTTGTTTTTTTGCTATGATGAAATAAAAAAAAAACCAAACACATACACACCAAACTATTGAACATATTAAAAGTGATTTGTGATGAACAAAAACACTGGCCTTTTTAGCTGCCTTGCCAACCCAGTCATCTGATTCTGTTGATCCGAATGCCATTTAATTTTTAATCTGACTAATTCGGTGAGGTTTCTGTTTCACACACCGTGGTCTCCAAACCACGGCAATGAATTCGTTTTACATAGCTGTCAGACAGGAATCTGGTCCATGTTTAATGGATGGAGGGACCCGGGGTACTTGAACGTTAAGCTCCTTGCCAAAAGCCACATAATAAAAAAAACATCAGGGGAAGGTTTTCAAAAACAGGATATTTGCACATCGGCCTTTCCCGCGTGGAAGGCATAACAAGACGCAGACAAGTTGGCAGATGCCCTAGGGAGCCGAGACTTTGTCTCTGCTGAACCAATTTCAGTGCAGAATCAAACGCAAAGCGTCATTCCCACCGGGACACGGACTAGACTCACAGTGGTCGGCAAACTGCGGCTCTCGAGCCACATGCGGCTCTTTGGCCCTTTGAGTGTGGCTCTTCCACAAAATACCACAGCCTGAGCGAGTCTATGTTGAAGAAGTGGCGTTAGGAGAAGTTTAAGTCTAAAAAATTTGGCTCTCAGAAGAAATTTCAATTGTTGTCCTGTTGATATTTGGCTCTGTTGACTAATGAGTTTGCCCACCACTGGATTAGAGAATGGAAGCTCTTGTTGACGAATCAGTTTATTAAAAAATGGGAAAAATTGAGGGTGACTTAGGGCAGAATTATGCAGGTGATATTGGCCAGGTAGTCTGAGGCCGTACTGACCAGAGACTGTATCCAGGGTAACATCCCTGGCTGAGATTTCTGTAGCCAGCTGGGGCCGGGTGAAAGCATTTATAGGAAAATTATTCGTCACGGGACACACTTAGCCCTTTGAAACTGAGGTGAAGTGGAGAATTAGTCCAATATCTGCTCTGGGACCCCCTCCTGGGGGATATTGCATTTAATTTGTGGCCTAATACTTTGTTTTTCCCTTCGTGGTTGCTACATTCTGTGACCTGGCATAGCCCGTCCCATGCGACCAACAGCTTAAATGATGTTACGTGATGCTGGCTACAGGCCAGGGCTGTGCTGGTACCGGTCTGCCCATGTTGGCACAAAGACTTAATAGTGGATGCTGTGCCCTTCATTGAGGCTGGTACTCAAGGACCAGCATTCCTGCTCATTTTTTAGCCACAAATTCAATTTCTCCAGCCAGAGCATCTGCCCTCTAGGGACAGGACTCAGTAAACTGGGATTTAAAAAAAAAAATAGGCAGCAGCGTACTGAACTCATGGGTTTATGTGCAATGCAGCTGACAGATATTAATCAGGATCCCAGACTGTTCATTTATGTACTTCTTAAGCCAGTGCTGAATGCATGTGCCGATAAAATGATTTCATGAACCAATGAATATAGTTTTGTTAAGACTGGACAGTGTAAAATACCCATTGAGATATGTCATATATATGTATAAATCTCTATATATAAAAGCCCAAATGACCATCCGACCGGTAGCTATGATGTACAATGACCACCAGGGGGCAGATGCTCAGTGCAGGAGCTGTCGAGCCGTGGTGACTTGGCAGCTGCCGTTCTCTGGTGACGCGCCAGGAACCAGAGAGGAGGGAGCTCAATTCCAGGGTTCATCACGCAAGAACAGCCCTCTCTCAATCCGAGACCCCTCATGGGGATGTCGGAGAGCCGGTTTCGGCCCAATTCCCTATCAGACCAGGCCGAAGGACCCCACCAGTGCACGAATCCATGCACTGGGCCTCTAGTATACATATACAAGTTACGGTTTTCTTGTGGTGTCCCTGTGCTTCCTAACTTGGCAGGATCCACTGTTGAATCTGGGGGGGTCGGTTAAAAGAGTGGCGATGTTTCCGCCAATTCCTCAAAGGGGGAAACGTTGAGCCTCGGAAGGGACAGGCAGGCCCGTCACCCCGAGCGCCTGCCCCGGCTGTGTAGAGCAATGAATTGAAATGTGTCGCGATGCATGGCAGTCCGAAGACAATAAACGTTGTCACCGCATGTTTTCTAGACACTGTGTAAGAGTGCACATCCACAGTGGCGGGAAGAGTTTGACTTTCACTACTTCTCTGACAGGATGGGCATCTTGGACATCGAGGTCTGGGGAAAGGACGGCAAAAAGCACGAGGAGCGACTGGGCACGTGAGTCTGCCCTGCTTTCTCGGTGGTGGGGGCGTGCGCGGCGCTTTCTGTGCGAGGCCCGTCTCTGTCTGTTGGGCTTAGAGTCACACCTCACCTGCCCACCCCAGGGGGCCAGAAGGAAGCTGGAACTTCCCCTGGGTGCAGTTTTTATTTGTTTATGGGTCGAGGGCATTTAGTATTTATTTAAAAAAAATTTTTTTTGGTATTGATTTCAGAGAGAAAGAGAGAAAGAGAGATTAAAAATGTCAATCTAGCTCCATTTCTTTCCTGTTCTTTGTCCCCGTCACTCTCTATAAAAGCCTAATATGCACATTGTCACTGTGGGAGTTCAACCTGGAGACAGATTGCTCGCTGTGACATGCCTTGACCACCAGGGGACGGTGCAGAGCGAAGGGAGGCCCCAGTTGGCAGCCAGAAGGCCCTGATGGGCTCTGATCACCAGGCAGTCCTCAGGACCCTACCTGTGCACAAATGTTGTGCACTGGGCCTCTAGTTGTCATATATATGACATTCTCTATATGTTCTGAATTGAACAAGGCAGTGTTTATTTTATGCAATCCTACGCCTTTATTTATTTATTTATTTAAAGTACATTTTGATTTCAGAGAAGAAGAGAGAGGGAGAGAGAGATAGAAATATTGATGATGAGAGAGAATCAGTGATTGGCTGCCCTTGACCAGAAAATCAAACCAACTGTGACCTCCTGGTTCCTAGGTCAACAGTAAAACACCGAGCCTGGTTGGCCGGGTAATGCCATTTAGTTTTGATCAAAACAGAAGAAAGTAGTTCCTGCCACATTCTCAGGGGGTGTGGTGTGGCACTTCACAGATATTGTTGATCATCAGATTTCTAGCCTGGTTCCTTCTCCCCCTCCCTCACCTCCTCCTTGGGGTAACTGATCCCTCAGATACTTCTCCTTACCCTTGACCCTGGGGACCACTGTGACATACCGTGCCCCGCCAACACCCATCTACATACGGGGGGGAGGGGGGATCAGACATGCTGTGCTAGCCCAGGAGCAAGGACACGTTACATCCGTGTGCCGACGCAGAGCACTCCGTGTCCCGCCGTGTCCTCCGAGTGGTGGGAACGTGGCCCTGCCGTGACGCATGGCCGACCTGTTGTGTCAGTACAAAGAGTCACGCCCTCTCGCCCCGTGCCATTGTGCTGTCGCGGCTGCCCCACGTCACAGGAAACGCTTCTCCCCGTGTGCGAGGTGTCTTCACACTCAGACACTGGCTTCCGACGGCCCTTTCCCTCCATGTGTTGTCATCCGGGTGTTTATTTACGACCTCAGCTGTTTCTTGTTTGTGTGCCTGTCCTAGTTAGTGGCCACCCTGTCCTTTCTTTTTATGGATTTTGAAGGATTTTTTTTTTTTGTATCTCTTTCCTCTTTCCTCTCCCGCAGTAAAAGAGACCACAGAAGTGTCTCTCTTGGGAGCTGGTTACACAGCATTAGCTGCAGCGAACTTCCAGGTGGGGCGAGGCGGACCCTGAGATACAGCGTGAGCCTCAGAGTTAACGGGGAGATGATGCTATGCTAGCCGGTGCCTACCACAGACACGCTCCTTACAGTTCTTTATTTTACACTAGAGGCCTGTTGCACCAAGATTTGTGCAAGTATAGGCCTTCTGTCCCCTGGCTTCAAGTCTTTCCTCCTGGCCAGAGCACTGCTCCTGTAGCTCCCTCTGCTCCCTCCCTTTATAGCAGGCGCCCCACCCTGCCTGGCCACTCAGCACCTGCATATGCAAATGAACCCACCATCTTTGTCGTGTTAATTTGCATGCTCACTCCCGATTGGCTGTGGGCATAGCGGAGATACGGTCAATTTTACATGTTTTTCTATTATTAGGTAAGATTTTTCACATATTTGTTTCCACTTTACTTTGTTGTAATTCCAGTGCTCAGTGATCTGATCTCCCAGATGCTGAGAAATTCCTTTTTTTGCATCAAGTCCCTTTGACAGTGAGAGTTGGTCATAACTGTCTCCTGAGTCCTCTCTGTTTTTATTTTTTTTTTATAAAAATCTTCACCTGCCCTAGTTGGTTTGGCTCATTGGATAGAGCATCAGCCTGCGGACTGGAGTGTCCCAGGTTCGATTCCAGTCAAGGTTGTGGGCTCGATCCCGGGGGAGGAGGGAGGCAGGCAGGAGGCAGCCAATCAGTAATTCTCTCTCATCACTGATGTTTCTATATTTCTCTCCCTGTCTCCCTTCTTCTCTGAAATCAATAAGAATATATATATTTTGCAAAAATCCTCGCCTGACGATGTTTTCCCATTGCTTTTAGAGAGAGTGAAAGGGAAGGGGAGGAGAAAGAGAAGAGCATCTATGTGAAAAAGGCACATCTATTGGTTGCCTCTTGCACGCACCTCAACCATGGGGCAGGGATGGAACTTGCAACCAGGTATATGCTCTTGATCTTGACCTATGCCCTTGACCGGAAATGGAACCGTGACCTGGTTCATAGGTTGACGCTCAACCACTGAGTAACACCAGCTGGGCTCACCTCCAACTTTTAAACAAAATGGCAAGAACATAGAATGTACACTCTCCCATTTTAAACCGGTACCAGTTGTTCAAAATAATCCTTTTCCTTAACGTGTATTTTACATTTCAAGGCGACTGTAGAGATGAACTCGTTATGGAATCTTCTAGACTTACTTTCGCTTGGGCAACTTAAGAAGGAGGATGCTGGAGCCCTGGCTGCCTCTGAGACCCACGCGTGACTTGAAAGAGGCTCTGTCATCCCACCAGTTTGTCAGCGGAGAATCAGGGAGGGACCATTTCCCTGGACAAATGACACCCATGTCCTCGACCTGCTTTTACGGCCATGCTCATACACTCCCCGTCTTCCTCCTGTTCACCACCCCCTTCCTCAGCCTCTGAGATTTACAGCTTCGAAAACCACAGCACTCTGTCCTGCCCCTTGCATTTACGTTAAGAGCTGACCAGCCTGAAATATAAAGCATAGAATTATGGTAATGAGCGAGAGGTTAAAAGCTATCGTGGCAAGGAACACCGGAGCAGGTAGGGCTGACGGATACGGTGAAATTATGTGTGGAATTAAGACAATAAAATGCGGCGGGATTAATGGGGAAAGGCATGCACAGGAGGTTAGACACAATGCCGTATCAGCACATTAACTGGCTGTGGGCTTAATATATGCTTGCTGTTGAGGAAAATAAGTAATTCAGCCTTGTTTTCTTTAGATGAATTAAACCGTGGGCTTTTCAATATGGGAGGGGCCTATATTCCTGTCTATATACACCAAGGGGCCAGATGATGATGATCTCTGAACACATACTAATCTGGCCATTCCTATAGCATAAAAGGCTAATATGCAAGTTGTCCCCTCAACCAGGATTTCAAACAGCAGGCCGGCCGGCCAACCGCCCATGTCCCCTCCCCTGGCCAGGCTGACTGGACCTCACCCATGCACGAATTCATGCATGGGGCCTCTAACACACACACACACACACACACACACACACACACACACACACACACTGAGTGGCCAGATTATTATGCATTCAGAGATCATAATAATCTGGCCACTCAGTGTGTGTGTGTGTGTGTGTGTGTGTGTGTGTGTTTAATTGATTTCAAAGAGGAAGGGAGAGGGAGAGAGAGAAGCATCACTGATGAGAGAATCATTGATTGGCTGCCTTCTGCATGGCCCCTATTGCCCCTACTGGAGAATCGAGTCCTCAATCCAGGCATGAGCCCTGACTTGGAATTGAACCATGTCCTCCTGATTCATGGGTCCTCACCCAACCACTGAGCCACACTGGCCAGGCCTAGAGATGATATTGACTATTCTAAGATCTGCTAAGGTCTCACTTTGGCCCAAGAGCCAGCACATTCTGAATGAGTGTCCAAAACAGTCACTCCCTCCCTCCCTCCTTCCCTCTCTGCTTGCCTCCTTCCTACCTCCGCTCCCCCCCACCCTCCCCCCCAACCCCCTTCTAAGCATAAACAAAGCGGGTGTGGTCCAGGCTGCCCCAGAATTTTCAGTGTTAAAGCAAATAAGCACAGAGCACTCAGCGCCCCTTGGCGGTGTTTGCTTCCGCATTTCAACTTGCTTGAGGTTTTCAACAGCCCAGAACTTGGGTTGTGAAGAGGCGGAAAACACGCCGTTTCTAGCAGATGGGACGGCCTCCCCGAGCCGCTGCTCAAGTGGGATCCATCAGCGGCTCTTCACGCTCCATTTGTCCAGAGAGAAACCCACCGGGGGAAGCCCCGTGCAACGCGCCCGTTAGGAAGGCACCTCGCCACGTGGGTGTGAATAAAAACACGCACGCCCGTTGGCATTCATCTGGGAGAAAATGGATTTTTCATGAACCCGTTTGCATGTCTCTTGTCTTTTCTAAATTGTTTTTGAAACCCTTTATTCTCTTTGCTGGAGAAAGACACGGAGCAGAAAAGCTACATAGAGCCATAATACTTAACACTTGCAAAAACGTTTTCTCCCTAATTTTTTAAAAAATATATTTTTATTGATTTCAGAGAGGAAAGGAGAGGGAGGGAGGGAGGAAGAGAGGGAGGGAGGGAGAGAGAGAGAGAGAGACCAATGATGAGAGAGAATCATGGATCGGCTGCCTCCTGCACACCCCACACTGGGGATCCAGCCTGCAACCTGGGCCTGTGCCCTGACCAGGAATGGAACCGTGACCTCCTGGTTCATAGGTCGATGCTCAACCACTGAGCCACACAGGCCGGGCTCTCCCTAATTCTTGACCTCCTTGTCTTTCTGCAGACCTTATTGGGCAAGGATCTGACGCCTCTTTTCCACTTGCCATTCCATTCCCGACCTTTCCTCCTCCATTGTATTTTATTTATTTTTTTAAAATATTCATTTTATTGATTTCAGAGAGGAAGGGAGAGGGAAATATAGATTGAAACATCCATGATGCGAGAGAATCATGGATCGGCTGACTGCCTCTTGCACGCCCCCTACTGGGGATCGAGCCTGCAACCCGGTCATGTGCCCTGACCGGGAAACGAACCGTGACCTCCTGGTTCATGGGTCGATGTTCAACCACTGAGCCGCACTGGCCGGGCTCCTCTCCTTCATTTTAGAGTGTGCTGGGCTAGGAATGAGCATTCTAAGCCAGACGAGCCCTCTGGTCCTTCCCTGCCCGAGAAACCCAGGCCCCACAGAATGTGGTTCGGGACATGGGGAAACCGGGGTTCTGCGGAGGCTCCGGGGCGACCCTGGGTTAGGCGCTCACTCTCCCCTCTCCGCCTCCCACTCTTGCAGGTGTAAAGTGGACATCGCCTCGCTCCCGCTCAAGCAAGCCAACTGCCTGGAGCTGCCCCTGGACAGCTGCCTGGGCGCCCTCCTGCTGCTCATCACGCTCACCCCCTGCGCGGGGGTCTCCGTGTCCGACCTGTGCGTGTGCCCCTTGGCGGACCCCGGCGAAAGGAAGCAGATCGCCCAGCGCTACGTGAGTGCTTCGCCTGCCTCCCGACCCCGGCCCCACCCCCACTTTAAAAAAAGTCCTTATCGATTTCCGAGAAGATGGGAGAGAGAGAGATAGAAGCGTCCGTGATGAGAGAGAGTCACGGATGGGCTGCCTCCTGCACGCCCCCTACTGGGGATCAAGCCCGCAATCCGGGCATGTGCCCTTGGCTGGAATCGAACTTTGGACCCTTGAGTCTGCAGGCCAAGGCTCAACCACTGAGCCACACTGGCTGGGCTGCACTGGATTTGTTTTTTAGGGCATCAGAAAAGACAGTCTTCAAAGTTGAAAAGTATTTTATTTAATAAAGTTTTTATTTAAGCTTAAACCCAATTTTTTTTGGTTACTTTTTAGATTAAAAATGCAGATCAGAAACAGCTTTAGAACGTTCTTAGCAACAGTACATGTTAGGTTAAGCAAATCCTAATTACTATGAAGCTTTTTTTTTTTAAAAAATAGATTTTTTTTTTTTTTTTTTTTTTTTACAGAGAAGAAGGGAAAGGAATAGCAGAAACATCTATGAGAGAGAAACAAGCATGTTTCTAACTTTCTCTCCCTTACTCCCTGCAAAAAATCAGTAAAATATCTTTAAAAAAAAAAAAGAATAAACTGTTTTGCATCCTCACAGCTATAAACCTACTTCTGCCCCACCCTGTATCAAAGTCTCAGCAAGCAAAAAATTAACCTAAATGTGAATGCACACCTGATGCCGGATGCTCCGTCTCCCATGGAATGAATGGGCTGACGGGAGGACCAGAGAATCCACTCCCCAGCTCCATCCCTCCCCTCCTCCCCGCGGGAATGAGCATCCACGGAGGGCCCACGTGTCATCCTCTGGCGTCCCCCACAGTCCACACCAACGAGGCCAGAGTGATGGCGCCTTCCTGGGCGATTGAGAAGTTTAATTCCAGCGAGAGACGGAGACGAGGAGGATGGATGCCGCTTGGCACACATCTTCCCGGCAGGGAGCCTGCGCCGTCACCACGGGGCCGTGTTAAAAGCCGATCACGCGCGCGCGTGTGTGTGTGTGTGTGTGTGTGTGTGTCATGCGTGCATTTCGGAGCTGGAGTTAATTAGCTCTCAGTCTCTGGGAATCTGGCTGCTGTGGATGCCTGAATGTCCCGTGGACGGAGATGGTGCACCGGGCGAGGTTTCTGAGCGCTGGCAGGAGAAAGGGGCCGAGGTCCCCTGAGGGAGCTTGTCCTGTAGCACGAGGGGGTCGTCGGAGAACGGTTTGCATCCGTGACCCACGCATGTGTGTGTGTGTGTGTTTTCCTCAGGGCCTGCAGAACTCCCTGAGAGACATGAAGGACGTCGGGATTCTACAAGTGAAGGTTTTAAAGGCTGTGGACCTCTTGGCTGCTGACTTCTCTGGTAGGAGCCGTTTTCATTTACTTATTTTTAATATATATTCAATATTTTATTGATTCTTTTACATAGAGGAAGGGAAAGGGATAGAGAGCTAGAAACACTGATCAGCTGTCTCCAGCACACACACACACCCTCCCCTCTGGGGATGTGCCTGCAACCAACGTACATGCCCTTGACCAGAATCGAACTTGTGATCTTTCCGTCTATAGGCCGACGCACTATCCACTGAGTCAACTCTCCGGGAATCCAACCGTGACCTCCTAGTTCAGTGGTCTGCAAACTCATTAGTGAACAGAGCCAAATATCAACAGTACAATGATGGACATTTCTTTGGAGAGCCCAGTTTTTAAAACTGAAACTTCTTCTAGCACCACTTCTTCAACATCGACTCACCCAGGCCATGGTATTTTGTGCAAGAGCCACACCCAAGGGGCCAAAGAGTCGCATGTGGCTCTCCAGCTGCAGTTTGCCGACCACGGTCCTAGTTCCTAAGTTGATGCTCAACCACTGAGCCACACCAGCCAGGCTCTCCCACTAATCATTTTAAGGCTCTGATCTGTCCCTGTCTCATTAAGAAAGACCCACCTGCTTCTTCTAAACCAATCAGTCCCCTTGCAAACCTTGCTTACAATTCACCTCCGCTGTGAATTCCTTGTAGACTTTAATCAACCAAATTAAATTTTTGTGAACTTGAGTTTCCTAGTCTTGCACCAACATTCCCTGCCTCTTGGAGGGTGCAATGAGAACTGGCATAAAGCATGGTTTTGTGCTCAATGGGAAAAGCAAGACTCCCTCTAGCCGACACCTGCCCCCAGCAGTGTCCCCTCTGTCCTCTGTCACTGGCCCTCCCGTGCATACGTTGTGTGTGCCTGCATTGGGGCGCTTCTGTGAAATACAGGACTCACTACGGGACAGAGGCACAGATGTGGGATGAGAGAGACACAGGGAGAGTACACAGCCAGAGGTCAAAGGTGGGGGCACTTGGTCCACTGGCCAGGAACAGGAGGGCAGTTTTCAAGGAAAAGGTGACATTTGCTAAAACAGACACACACACACACACACACACACACACAAGCAGAGGTATTATGAGGGTCCCATAAAGGCAACAACGCCCTGGTGGGCCTGGTCCGGCGCCAGGCATCCAGTGCATGCTTAATAAATATGGGTCCGATGAACGATACGACCTCTAAAACCCATTCATTACGCGTCATCCCACTTCTGGAACTCCTATAAAGGTAGAATTATTTAAATGAGAACCCTCCGCTTGCTGCTGGAGGAATGTAAATGGATTGTAAAGTGGTGTCGGACAGAGCAGAGGCGATTGAGAGCAAGGTGCTAAAACACCGTGAAACTGCATAGTGGGAGGGGTAGGGGAGCAGGGGGCGGGGGAGAGACCCTGTCAAGGTGACATGGCCTGGCTGAAGAGAGGTCATCGGGGAGCACAGGGGGAGCACAGAGGTAAAGCTCGGACTCCGAGCCTGTATGTGTCTGCTCCGGACCTGCCGGGGGTGTTTCTCCGCATCCAGAGGGTTCAGGAATCTGGAGATTAATAATAATTAATAATAAAGAGACTAGAAATATAAATATGGAATACACAGGGAGCCAGAGGAAACTTAGCTATAGTAACCATGTGCTCCCCAATCTCTGGACCCAGGGGTCTGTATTAACACAAATTTCCCTAGAGCAAAGCAGATATACACAACAAAAGGTAAAGTTTGGTCTGCCTTAGACACTGTCAGGTTTGGGGAAATGCTTTCAGTTGTTCCAGTGGGGCCAGTGGTCAGCAAACTCATTAGTCCACAGAGCCAAATATCCACAGTACAACGATTGACATTTCTTTTGAGAGCCAGATGTTTAAAACTTAAATTATATAAGTAGGTAGATTGTTATTAACTTTTAAAAAATATATATATATATAATTGATTTTTTTTTTTTACAGAGAGGAAGAGAGAGGGAGAGAGAGTTAGAGACATTGATGAGAGAGAATCATTGATCAGCTGCCTCCTGCGCACCCCCTACTGGGAATGTGCCCGCAACCAAGGTACATGCCCATGACCAGATTGGAACCTGGGACCATTCAGTCCGCAGGCCGATGCTCTATCCACTAAGCCAAATTGGTTAGGGCCTTTTTTTAAAAAAAATCTTTTTATTGATTTCAGAGAGAGGAGAGGGAGAGATAGAAACATCAATGATGAGAGGGAATCATGGACCATCTGCTTCCTGCACACCCCACATTAGGATCGTGGGTTCGATTCCCGGTCAAGGGCAAATGCCCGGGTGGCAAACTCGATCCCCAGTTATAGGGCTTATAGGAGGCAGCCGCTCCATGATTCTCATCATCGATGTTTCTCTCTCACTCTCACTCTCCCCTTCTCCCTTCTTCGCTGAAGTCAATAAAAAACATGAAAACAACGCCACCAAAGTGGACTCTCTCACGTGTCAATTGAACACCTGCTCCTATGATACCTGTGTGGCCTCGGGCACACACGGCTGCCTCTGGGTTGTGTGTCTGTCGCAGCCTGTTCATGATGTCACGGTTTCAGCATTTGCAGGATTCGGGGCTCCCATGTGGCTTGTAGGGGGAGACAGGCTCGCTTTCCTCTCTCAGCCAGCACAGTTGCATCGCGAGGGAAGCGCGGGGCCTCGGTTCACTGGTCTCTGTCACGTCTGAGGTCCCCGTGTCTCTGACCAATGCCCATGTTTTCCCTCCAGGGAAGAGCGACCCTTTCTGCTTGTTGGAGTTGGGCAATGACCGGCTTCAGACGCACACCATCTACAAAACTCTCAACCCCGAGTGGAACAAAGTGTTCACCTTGTAAGTCCTTCAGCCTCTGGACTACCCAGGGGCATCTTTTTTATTTTTCAATTTTTATATCATTGATATTTTACAGAGAGGAAGAGAAAGGGATAGAGAGCTAGAAACATCAATGAGAGAGAAACATCGATCAGCTGCTTCCTGCACACCCCCTACTGGGGATGTGCCCACTTCCCAAGGTACATGCCCTTGACCGGAATCGAACCAGGGACCTTTCAGTCCGCAGGCCGACGTTCTACCCACTGAGCCACACCGGTTTCAGCAAGGGGCATCTTTAAAAAGAAACAAATTATTGATTTCGGAGAGGAAGGGAGAGAGAGAGAGAGAGAGAGAGAGAGAGAGAGAGAGAGAGAGAGAGAGAGAGAGAGAGAGAGAGAGAAACATCAATGGGAAGAGAGAATCATGGATAGGCTGCCTCCTCCTGCACGCCCCACACTGGGGATGGAGCCTGCAACCCCAGCATGGGCCCTGACCGGAATCAAACCCAGGACCCTTCAGTCTGCAGGCCAACGCTCTATCCATTGAGCCACACCAGCTGGGAAGCTCCTTCGAAATCACCATCCTTTTACCCTCCTCCTTCTGTCTCCAATTCTTCTCTCTTCATCTGTTTCTTTAACGGTCCCACCCTGACGTGCACGGAGACATGGAGAATGTCACACAGTAAGAAAGTTGACTTTTTCTCCCATGGATGACTAAATCTCCTCTGATGGAAGGCTTGGGAATAGAGCCAGTTTGATTTAATTTTTGGAGTTTAATTAAATGGTAGTTGTATACTCCAAGGACCTGCAGACTTAATTAGTGGAACTGTGTTTTCCGATCTTCACGGAACCGACTCCACGTGTGTGTGTGTGTGTGTGTATGACCCACGGTGTGTTTCTTGTTGCAGCCCCGTTAAGGATGTCCATGATGCTTTGGAAGTGACCGTGTTTGATGAAGATGGAGACAAACCCCCGGATTTTCTTGGAAAAGTCTCCATTCCCTTGCTGTCTGTAAGTTATCTTTGTTAATACAGTTTGTGGTTCATTGTGTTGTTGACAACTTTCCGTCTCTCTACCTGGGTCTAGAGAACACTTTATGACTCTAGGTGGAGACATCTGTTTTATTCCAGTAGTTTCAGATCTAAATCTAAAGTAACACAATTTTAATTTTAAAAAATATCTTTTATTGATTTTTTTTTTACAGAGAGGAAGGTAGAGTGATAGAGAGTTAGAAACATGGATGAGAAATATTGATCAGCTGCCTCCTGCACACCCCCTACCGGGGATGTGTCCGCAACCAAAGTGCATGCCCTTGACAGGAATCGAACCTGGGACCCTTCAGTCCCCAGTCCGACGCTCTATCCACTGAGTCAAACCGCTTGGGGCATCTCTGTGTCAATCAAATATGATTGAATCAGCCAAACCGTTTTCACCAGCCCTTTTTTTTCTTCTTAAATATGGTTTTATTGATTTCAGAGAGGAAGGAAGTGGGAGAAAGAGAAATAGAGACATCACTAAAAAGAGAATCAATGATTGGCTTCCTCCTGCATGCCCCCTATTGGGGACGAAGCCCACGCCCAGTTATATGCCTGGACCAGGACTCAAAACTGTGACCTTGGGCAAGATGTGGCTGTTTCTATTCATTGATTGATTTCCGAATTCTTAGACCAATAAATTGAGAAAGTGATCAGCTTCTTTGAGGATCTATGGGGGCTCTTCCTGCAGCACATGCTCTCCAAGGTGAACTGATTCTCCACCTAACCTGTAGATACAAATGTGATTAAAAATATGCCAAAAGGCTAAATATCTCTAACAGGAAACATTTTATTCCTTAAACCTTCCGATCGATAACATAGTAAATATGTGTTGGAAAATAGTGTGCACATTGGAGAGTTTTAAAATATTTCTAAGCTAGACTCCATCTCCTAATATCTGTTTCAGTAGATTTATTTAACATTTCTATCCTCAACTAATCAATCCTAATTCTGTCCAGAAAATCTGGCTGGATTTTTTCTCATTTATCTATTCTAGGTCATTCTTTTTCATTTAAACACTCAAGGCCCTGTGCATGAAATTCGTGCAGTGGGCTCAGCCCTGGCCCGGCCCTCCCAGCCCCAATTCCTCCGGAAGGTCACCGGGAAGGACGTTCAGAGGGTCGTTCGGCTGTTCGGTCTAATTAACATATTAGTTCTTTGTTATATAGAATATGTTTACCCTCTCAGAATTATCTCATGGGCCAACCTAAGAAGGCTAGGAAAATCAGGTTTCCTTAAAGTAAGAAGAGCATCTCTTTATTATTACAGTATTTCCTAATGTCTGCGGCGGCGTGATGAGGCCCTACATTTCGAAACAAATTCTCATTCTCGGTGCAATCCACGCCAACATGCGCATCTGCAATCAGATGCACGCCTCACGCAGCCCTCGGCTCTCTCTGCGAAGCCACGTGCGCAGTCGCCCGCTTGCTGCACCAGCAACAGCTTCACTTAATTAGTTTTATGGGACAAATTTCCCATAATTGCTCCTACCCAATAAACGTCCACGCAAGTCTGCATTTGCATTTCCAATCGAGTGTTTGCCCGAATTGCACCTGGGATGAGATTTGCTCATTCTAATGGACACATTTACGCCATCATTTTGTTGTGTGGGGAATGCTGAAATCCGGGCCATTAAAATAAACAACGTTGATCTTTTACTTGGTGTTAATATTTGTATATGGAAAGCTAAGTTTGAAAAAATACTAAAAGGAGTCTCGAGGCAGGGCTAGCGTGGCGATTTTTTGAACACAAATGTTCAGTTCACCTCCTTAGCCTAATGTTAGTTCAAGATATCCATTGAAATCCATAAAGGAACACATACAATAAGGCAAATTTCCTGATTGGCCCTGGAAACTATATATTTTATTGATTTCAGAGATGAAGGGAGAGGCAGAGAGAGAGAGAGAGAAACATCCATGATGAGAGAGAATCCTGGATTGGCTGCCTCCTGCACGCCCCCTACTGGGGATCAAGCCCACTCCTGGGTATGTGCCCTGATTTGGGATCAAACTGTGACCTCCTGGTTCATAGCTTGATGCTCTACCACTGAGCCATGCCGGCCAGGCTGCAGTCTCTTTTTTTTTTTTCTAGCAAGTTCTCAGATGCATTTTGGGCTTACCACAGGGATTGTTCTCCAACTTTAGAGACTAAACAGTGAGCTTAATTAAGTATGTGTGTGCATACCCGCATGTAAATATATAAAATACTCTGTGCACATTCCCATTTAACATGTTCATGAATTGATCATGTTGTGGCTCTCAGATGCCTCAATAGATTAAAAAAAAAGATAGAGACTTCACTGTGATCACAACACTAGGAAAATGGGAATTAATAACAAAAGTGAGACAACTATCAAAACACTTGGGGGAGGGGGAAATCCCATGTAGCTAAAACTACAGCTCAAGAAAGGAACAATGCAATAGTATACTTAAAAACTGTGGAGAGCCGAGACCAGTTTGGCTCAGTGGATAGAGCGTCAGCCTGTGGACTGAGGGGTCCCAGGTTCGATTCTGGTCAAGGGCATGTACCTTGGTTGCGGGCACAACCCCAGTAGGGAGTGTGCAAGAGGCAGCTGGTCAATGTTTCTCTCTCATCGATGTTTCTAACTCTCTCTCCCTTTCTCTCCCTCTCTGCGAAAAAATCAATAAAAATATATTTAAAAAAAAACTCACACACACAAAAAAAAACCTGGAGAATTGCCTTTGGAAAGGAAAGAGGACTTGGTAATTCCACGAGAATTCTAAAGGTTATCTAGAACTGTTCACTTTGTGATAACACACCAAACTTTCCAAGAAATATGTATGTGTAGGTATCCAGGTTATATTTCAGTGAAATAATGAATGAAAGTATGGTCCTTCTAATTTCATATTTCATTCAAAGCAGTTGAAAAAATAACCTGATTGTATTATGTCGCACTTGGAAATTAATGTTTTCTCCTTAAAAAAAAAAAAAAGATAACAATTAAAAAAAACAACACCCACACACACCCACACAGAACCATGGAGAAGGGCCAAAAGTATTATTCAGAGGAAATTCTTAACTTGAATGTTTTCATAATTAAACAACAAAGGTTGAAAAACCATTTAAGCATCTCGACAAAAGGAAATAAAACTAAGGACAGTCAAAAGGAATTAATGAACATTAAAAAATGAGCAACATGGAAAATATGTACATGGTGTCCTTGATAATGCCAAGTACTACTTCTGTAAAATGTAATTCAACAGGCAAGCCATTTACAAGGCTAGGACTGGGTAAGCTATCAATCCTTAGTTTGAGTCCATTAAATTATTAAATTCATTTGAGCAGTCAGATTAGCACCGATTGAATGATCTTTTCACTAGGAGTGATCACTAAATGTAGGAAAAGACTCTTGCCCAGCTGGTGTGGCTCAGTGGTCGACCGTGGACCTATGAACCAGGAGGTCACAGTTCGATTCCCGGTCAGGGCACAGGCCCGGGTTGCAGGCTCGATCCCCAGAGTGGGGCATGCAGGAGGCAGCCGATCCATGATTCCCTCTCATCACTGATGTTTCCATCTCCCTCCCCTTCTCTTCCTCTCCCTTCCATTCTGAAATCAATACAAATATATTTAAATTTTAAAAAATAAAAGGACTCTCAAACACTGTTGGAACAAGGCTTGTAGAAGGCACCTTGATAAGATGGATTACCATTTAACACACACGTATCTCCGAGCATTTGCATTCTGGGTATCTGTCGTAGAGCCGCATCTGAGACTCGAGGAGATGGAATTACGCCTGGCCACACAGATGCTATTAAATGCCAGGCGTGGGAATTGGATCTGAGTCTGTCTGGTCTCCCAGTCCTGCCTCGGCACACCGTTAGTAAACGCGGGAGGGAACATGTTCGGTCTCATTGGGTATAAGAAAGAGTACATATTAAAACAACCTGAGGCCTTTCTATCCCTCCGAAATTGCTGTGTATTAAATAAAAATGCCGGCGTGGCGAGGAAATGGGTGGTCTGATTCACAGAAGCTTTTCCCTCTCTGTAGGGGGGAAAAGCCATCAAATAGACGTATCTTATGAGTCAGCAGTTCCACCTCTAGACAAGGTTCTTTAGTTTCCCAGTCTTTAAAATGTGAATTTAGAAAGCGTATATATATATATCTCAGAGGTGGGTGTGAAATAATCAGGAAAAACAGGGACACGTACACAGAAATGGCTTGCGAATGACACCTCGTGTTTAGTCTTAGGTTAACGTATGTATTTCCACTCTTTTCATCTTTTGAATTTAAAAAATATATGGGAGCCCTGACCAGTTTGGCTCAGTGGATAGAGCGGCGGCCTGTGGACTGAAGGGTCCCAGGTTCGATTCCGGTCAAGGGCATGTACCTTGGTTGCGGACACATCACCGGTAGGGGTTATGTAGATGCAGCCGATCCATGTTTCTCTCTCATCGATGTTTCTAACTCTCTCTTCCTCTCCTCCCTTCCTCTCTGTAATAAAGTCAATAAAATATATTTTAAAGAATATATGGGAAACATCCCCCCTGTGGAATAATAGGTTATTACTTTAGCGTTTAATTATAATAGTCAATATTTCAGTATATGGATCTATTCCTAAATCAAACCTATTCCACATACAGAATAGCGTATTTGGTCTTTACCCCAAAGGTTTCCCTTGTGACAGACAGCCAGAAAAAGCGGAATCAATAGAAAAATTCATAAAGGGTGGGTTATTTATATTTTGAATAGTAGATAGCCATTTAAGGAGATGAGGCAGATCCATATTCTACTACAAACTTTTCAATCTGAATCCTATGGGTAGGTACAAAAATGAAGTTGCAAAGTACATTCAGTTTATGAATGTAAAGTCTCAATAACAACGTAGGAGGGGTCTATGCCAAATTTCTGGTATTTTTGGAAGTCCAGAATTTAAGTTTTTTCTGTTAACTTTCAAACTTTAAAAAAAGAAATGTCTCAACGTATAATTTATGTATTTTAAGGAAATATATTCAAGTGCCAAACAGGAATAGCCTTCATCCTATCTCAGGCCTCTTAATGACTATGAAATTGCTGCGTATTAAATAAAAATGCCCAGCGTTACAAGGAAACGGACAGTCTGATTACTTGAACGTCCCTGGGCGGATTCTGTGTTTTGCTGACACAATACTAGGACGTTGAGAAAGAGGAAACGATCATTTACCAAATTAAAAAACATGCACACACACCAAAAAAAAATAAATAAATAAAAAAATCTCTTACTATAAAATATTTCTTTTTATACTGCTACCTCTTGTTCTTCTGTTTGACCTTCCCTGACCCGTAAGAAATGATGGAAATTTTAAGATAACAGGGTACAATGCTTGTGGTTCTGAGCAAAGCTCCCTTGGACGCGAGTCAGCTTGGCAAAGGGTCGCGCTGCTTTTGTATTTTATCTCTTTCAACTTTAACACCCACAATTTATTAAGTGAGACCGTGGACACAAGAGGAAGCTCCGGATCCTGTTTGGAGCCCGTTTCGGAAGGAAACCCGGTCTTTATGGGGCACCCCCTTCCTCTTCGCCACTGGCCAGGAAAGCCATCTTTCTGTTAAAGACCTATTCAATCTGGAGAGGTGGGGTGGCTTAGGGAAGGAAGATGACCTTTCTTTTGTAAAGAGGAATGGCTGCTCCCCGCCCTGACTGAACTCGGCTCATTTCCACCACTGTTTATAAGAACCCTTGTGGGCGCGCACTTGGAGTGACAGCAATAATCATTTAAAATATGGCTTGGCGTGGCTCAGTGGGTGAGCATCAACCTAGGAACCAGGAGGTCACAGTTCCATTCCCGGTCAGGGCACCTGCCTGGGTTGCGGGCTCCATCCCCAGTAGGGGGCGTGCAGGAGGCAGCCGATCCATGATTCTCTCTCATCATTTTCCCTCCTGTTGACAACTTTTATGCCCGTGATGCACTGGTCAAAACTAAACAACAACAAAAGCGAAAACACCACAAAACCTGACATCGCACACTTCTGTTCACCTGTGGCCTTTATTCCTTTATGGGAATGCCACCAGCTTTTCCAATGATGTCCTTTTTCTGTTCCAGGATCCAGCCCAGGGTACCTACCATGCTTGGCATGTAGTGGTCTTATCTCCGACGTCTTCTGATTTGTGACCGTTTCTAAGTATTTCCTTTTTCCTATGACCTTGGCCAGCTGGAGGAATCCTGGCCACGGATTTTGTAGAGGATTTATCTTGTTTTAATAAATAGACACGCATGCCGAAACTGGTTTGGCTCAGTGGATAGAGCGTCGGCCTGCGGACTGAAAGGTCCCAGGTTCGATTCCGGTCAAGGGCATGTGCCTTGGTTGCGGGCACATCCCCAGTAGGGGGTGTTCAAGAGGCAGTTGATCGATGATTCTCTCTCATCGATGTTTCTAACTCTCTATCCCTCTCTCTTCCTCTCTGTAAAAAATCAATAAAATATATTAAAAAAATAACTAAATAAATAGACATGTAGAACCTCTGAGATTTTTGAAAGCCCATGTAGACGCCGAAATAATCCAGGTCACTAATTTTCCATGTAGATTATCAGTAATTGTTACTTTAGCTGGGAGAGCATTCTACAGTGAACAGCTGATTTAAGGTGATTTCAATATTTGCCTAGCAGGCCTTTCATCTCCGTGTGTGCATCTCTGTGAGTTTGTTTAGTGTAAGCCCCAGGAAATATTTGTGTTTTTTTCCTCTTGCTTATGGCAGATTCGAGATGGACAAACGAATTGCTACGTGTTGAAGAATAAAGATTTAGAAGTTGCTTTTAAAGGAGTCATTTACCTGGAGATGGAGCTTATCTATAATGCGGTGAGTCTCCCTGGTCTCACTGGGCCATACCTGCCGGTTTCCCTGTACCTAACACGACAGGTGGCCAGCCTAGAGAGATTCCGGTCCCTGTGAAATGTTTTAGGATATTTGCACAAAGGGAGACTGAAGGGGCGAGGGAAAGAGAGAGAGAGAGAGAGAGAGAGAGAGAGAGAGAGAGAGAGAGAGAGAGAAAGAAAGAAAGAGAACAGTGTTTTAAAGCTCAACCATTGCCTGGCCAGTGTGGCTCAGTGGTTGATCGTCCACCTATGAACCAAGAGGTCACAGGCATATGCCCGGGTTGCGGGCTCCATCCCCAGTAGGGGGCGTGCAGGAGGCAACCGATCCGCGATTCTCTCTTATCATTGATATTTCTCTCTCTCCCCCCACCCCTTCCTCTTTGAAATCAACAAAAATATATTTAAAACAAACAACAATAACAAAAAAATCCCTTCAACCATCAAATCCATGCTGGGACACTCCAGGTTTCAGCTGGTATTAATTCTGGTTTTCCAGATCACTGAGAGGAAATGAGATTTTTTCTGTGCAAAATAGGTTTTATAATCCAGAAGCTCCATTCTCGGAGAGGAATGCAATCTACAGAAACGCCCCCCCCCCCCCCCCCTTTTTTTTTTTTTAACAATGGTGTCTTCCTAGGTCAAAGCCAGCATCAGGACCTTCACGCCCAGGGAGAAGCGCTTTGTTGAAGACAGCCGCAAACTGTCCAAAAAGGTGGGTCTCTGTGGGGAGCTGGCTTGTGGGTTCGCTCAGCATCCGGGCCTGGAGTCCTGGCTGTCAGTATTTGCTTGCACCCCTCCTTCCCCTCTCCCTCCTCTTTCTCCTCCTCCTCCTCTTGTTGTTATTGTTCTCTTCTTTTTTTCCCCCCTCCTCTTTCTCCTCCTTCTCCTTCCTCTCCTCTTCCTCCTTTTCTTTTCTTCCCTCCCTCTCTATCTCTACCTCTACCTCTACCTCTACCTCTACCTCTACCTCTACCTCTACCTCTACCTCTACCTCTACCTCTATCTCTATCTCTATCTCTATCTCTATCTCTATCTCTATCTCTATCTCTATTCTATCTCTTCTATCATTCTCAGCCCCCACCTCTCCACTCCTTTCTCCTTTTCCCCTTTCCCCCCAAAACAAGGACTTCATCAGCTCAATAAGAAGGGAAAGACTCAGCCCACATCTCTTGGATGAGTAGAAGGTGTCAGTCCTCCGTGAACCCCCTGAGTCATCCCTATGAACAGAGTCCCTAGCCTCCAGCCCCTGTGAGCGCTCTCCAGATCTCCATGCCCTGCACTCTTTCCTTTCATCACAGCCACGCCTGTCTCTGTCCTTCAGCGTCTCAGGGCGGGATTCTGGCCTTTTCCATTCATAAAGAAATTAGCTTAGTGCATCTTTAGAGCTGTGTAGCCTGGGACTCCCACAGCCTCTCCTACCACCTTCTTATTGTCTGAATTCGTGGGGTTGCTGCCACTTCACCTCCTTCTGAATGGCCTCTCTCTCTCTCTCTCTCTGTTGCCCTGAATTCTTCTGTCCTCGTTTCAACCCAAGGTGAGGACCGGAGCCCCATAGGGGCAGCCACACCTTCTTTGTCGAGCTGACTTTTCCACTTATCTCCAGGCCCTCCCCGTCCTGTCCGGCATTCGGGATGTCACTCCGTCCCTATTGTCCCTCTCCGGTTGTGTAACAAAGAACAGCGTGTCCCCTTTTCCGAGTATTTATTACTTCCACTCCTTCATGTGGGTGAGCAGCTGCGGGTGGCGGAAAGCCGCGCCATAGAAAGGCCATCTTATCGTCCTCCTGTCTCCCATGAACCCCTGGGCCCCGTGGGGAGAGGCCGGAGCCCTCCGCCGAGGGGGCCGTCCCCGCGCTTGGCTCCCGTCCGCAACAACACGGGCTGTCATGTTGGCTTTAGCGTAATCGGAGCCAGCCTCTTTCTTATTTTCTTATTTTTATTAGCAGCAGCATTGCACTTCTTGGCTCTGTTTACGTGAAAGTTAAAACCCGAGGTGAGGTAGGTGGGGCGGCTGCTTCTGCAAACAAACTGGAAGGAATCTGCCTACCCCTGGGAGAAGAGACGTTTCCTTTGCCAAACAGACCCCCACGTGGCAGGGTGGCTCCGGGTCTCGGAGGGCACCCTGGGGTGGGGTGGGGTGGGGCTGGGATCCTGGGGTCCTGGGGTCCTGGGCTATGTGAGGGTCCTCCCTCTCCCCACTAGGTGTCCCCTCATTCTCATAAAGTCGAAACATGTGCTTCTGACACAAATACGTAAAAGCACTTAGCTATGTGGCAAGCACTCCGAGTGCATTAATTCTGTCCACCATCAGGATTGGTGCTTTGCCTAAGAGAGAGGTTAAGGAACTGCCTAAGGCCACAGGCTGGCAGCCGGGAGATGGGAGGACTGCCTTTCTTTGCCAGAACTAGCCTTTCCTGTAGGTTTTTATAAAAATTAATTTCCGAGAGGAAGGGAGGGAGAGAGAGAAACATCAACGATGAGAGAGAATCATGGACCGGCTGCCTCCTGCTGCCTCCTGCACGTCCCCTGGCGGGGGGGGGGGGATCTAGCCCACAATCCGGGCAAGTGCCCTTGGCCGGAATCGAACCTGGGGCCCTTAAGTCTGCAGGCTGATGCTCTATCCACTGAGCGACACCAGCTAGGGCTCCTATGGACTTTTACCTCTGGACTTGATTAGTTAAAACACTTGAACATTTCTGCTATAAATTGTCCATTTCCTTCTAAGCTAAACAGGTAGCCACTTGTCCCCAATCTTGGTCTTTCTGTGTGTCTGTCTGTCTCTCTCTCTCTCTCTCTCTCTCTCTCTCTCTCACACACACACACACACACACACACACACACACACACAGCCAGATGCCTGGCTTCAGTCCTTTTTCCCCAGCTTAGTTGTGTGATGAACACAATTCAAACAGCTCCTCCTCTATTATTATTGCATTTTCTTTTCCTCCTCGGATGGCCGGACTTGAAGAAGAATTTTGGAAGGAGCTCAAGGCCTTTCCCTCCCTGGTTTTTATTCTTATTTATTTATTTATTTTATTATTATTTTGTTGTTGTTGTTCTTATTTTTTTATTATTATTTTTTATTTTATTAAATTATTATCTGTGTGCATATCTTAACCATTCCCTGGTTTTTAATCGGCAGCAACACAGAATACAGGGGAGAGACAGCCAGGCTGCCTGATCTCCACCGAGGGTGTGGAGCAGTCAAACCCACCTCTCTGCTTCCCGTGTCTCCTGCCCAGATCTTGTCCAGAGACGTGGACCGGGTGCGCAGGCTCACCATGGCGATGTGGAATTCGCTCCGGTTCCTCAGGAGCTGCTTCGAGTGGGAGTCCACGCCGAGGAGCGCCGTGGCGTTTGTGGTGAGCGTCCCCGCTCAGGCCCGCGTGGCTGGTTTCCGAGGCCTGAGTTCCCACGCACCACACGGGCTTCCTGTGACTGACATGAAGCAGAATGCAGCACGGTCAACCCCGCTGACGTTGACACTTGTAAGGAAACTTAAAACCGGAAACGGGCCCTGGCCGGTGCGGCTCAGTGGATAGAGCGCCGGCCTGCAGACTGAAAGGTCCCGGGTTTGGTTCCGGTCAAGGGCACGTGCCTCGGTTGCAGGCTCCTCCCCAGCCTGGGCCCTGGTCAGGGCACATATAGGAGGCAACCAACTGATATGTTTCTGTCACGTCCATGCTTCTCTCTGTATTTCCTAAGTCACGACAGGGCCTGATGTGACATGGGATATGTCCTGATCATGGTCCTTCTTTCTCCTGTTTACTTTTTCTTCCTGGAAAAAAAAAGAAATATTTTTATTGACTTCAGAGAGGAAGTGAGAGGAAGAGAGAAACATCAATGATGAGAGAGAATCATGGATCGGCTGTTGTTGCACGCCCCCTCCTGGGGATTGAGCCTGCAACCCCAGGTATGCATCCTGAAGGAGAATTTAACCTTGACCTTCTGGTTCCTAGGTTGGTGCTCAATCACTGAGCCATGCCATCCGGGCTACAGTCTTGTTTTCTATGTTAATGCTCTCTTGGCCTGTGGACTGAAGGATCCCCTTTGGTCCCAGGTTCAATTCCGGTCAAGGGCACATGCCTGGATCTTGGGCTGGATCCCCACCAGGGCCATGCAGGAGGTGGCCGATTCATAATTCCCTCTCATCATGGATGTTTCTCTCTCCCTCCCTTTCTTTTTCCTCTCTGAAATCAATAAATATATATTTATTTTAAATTAGCCCTTGGGTTCCAGGTCACTCCAACCTTTATGATTTCCACTTAGGGAACAAGTGAATCAGCTCTTTAAGAGGCTCTGTCCTCAGTGGACAACAGTTTGTTCCGTCTAGTGAATTACAAATTTTTGAGGGTCTGTGACGTAGAGGGTCTGTGATGGCTACAGCCTTGACCCTCCATAAACTTGAACTTGGGCCTGAAGCTGGTAAAACGATTGGCCTTACACACATGCATAAGGCTTGTAGTAGTCCTTATCGCTCTTGGCCTTGGCATTGACTTCTCCACTCTTCCTTCTCTCTCAAGGTCTCCTCGGTGGGGCGGGGGGGGGACTCACGTGTTGGGCTTCTCTTCATCCTCTCTCTCTCCACTTCCTCCCCGAATTCCCTTCAAAACGCCCCATGGAATGTTCTGGGCAAAAAAAAAAAAAAAAAAGGAAAAAGTCAACAAAAGTGGTGGCTTCTTCCAGTGGGCACCCCAGCCAGCCTCTGCGAGGAGGAGGAGGAGGAGGAGGAGGAGGAGGAGGAGGAGGAGGAGTGGGGGGGAGCGGTTCCTCTTTCTCGAGCTTCGTTTCTGGCTCTGGGATTTTTAGAAAAACAGCCCAGCTGCCCCAGGGTCACGTGGGAGAGTGACAGCCGTGATTAATGGGCTGCGGGGCCGATCTGAGGAAAGATTACACCGCGGAGGGGGGCCAGGTTGTCCTGTGGGGGGACTCCGATTGGGAAACAGGGCTTGGGCAGAGGGTGCCCGGCCTGGGCCTCCTGCCGGGCCATTCCCTGGGCAGGTGCAGGCTGCCAGGTCACCCTCAAATCTCGGGGGCCCGAGTGACAGGAGATAAAGGGGTGCTCAGACTGTGATTTTGCAAGGGTCCCTGGGTTCGTGAGACTGGGGGTGGGGGGGAGATAGTAGCAAAGAGAGTAGAAACGTTATTGAAAAAGCAGAGTCAAGTAGGAAGGATGCAGGCATAGCCTCTCTCTCTGGGCCGTGCTGAAGGAACTGGAGTGGAAAGTGCAGAGAGGAAGGGAGAGGGAGAGAGAGAGAGAGTATAAATACATCAATGACAAGAGAATCATTGGCCGGCCGCCTCCTGCACACCCCCTACTGGGGATCAAGGCCACCAGCCAGGCATGTGCCCTGACCGGGAACGGAACCGTGACCTCCTGGTTTGTAGGTTAATGCTTAACCACTGAGCCATACCGGCCAGGCTGGAGGCCTTTCTACATCAGACATGGGGCTGCGGGATGTAAGGGTCCCCTGATCACGTGTGAAGAGGACCATTTGGGTGACAGGGACTGGGAGTCGCACTGGCCCCCCACGCTGAGGACAAAGGGGTAGGGGTTTGGTTCTCCCTTCTGTTTTGTCAGATCACGTGAAAAGAGCCTGTTCATATCACGTTCACGTCTCTGTTTTCACACGATACAAAGCAAGCATGTTACAGGATCATGTTTAGTGTATTCTGGCTGTTAATTTCAGAGACACTATGAAAGCAAGCCATCCGTCTTCTGGATTCCTTTGGATGTGTGTATGAATATATCATCTCTCGATGAGAGCAGGAATTAAAAGAACAGCAGCTTGTTCAGACCTAGTCCACGTGGTCAGAAGTGGATGGGCCGCTGAAACCGGTGTGGCTCAGTGGATAGAGCGTTGGCCTGCAGACTGAAGGGTCCCAGGTTCGATTCCGGTCAAGGGCATGTACCTTGGTTGCGGGCACATCCCCGGTGGGGGGTGTGCAGGAGGCAGCTGGTCGATGTTTCTCTCTCATCGATGTTTCTAGCTCTCTATCCCTCTCCCTTCCTCTTTGTGAAAAATCAATAAAATATATTTTTAAAAAAGTGGATGGGCCGACATGAAATAATTTTTATCTTGTTGGATCATCCAAGCATAAACCTCCCCTACCATAATATATCCTATCCACAGATACATTAGGGTTGTATTCCGAATAGTAAGCAAAGAAAGTTCTCTTTAATTCACTGATTTCTACAAGTGTGAATCTTGCTAGGTGCTGTTGAATTCGTTGTTATTATAAGACATAAAATTTGTGTCTTTTTAGCTTGGCCAGAGCATTCCAAATCACGCTTCTACTGGCTCGGATGTTATTGTTAGAGCGATTATGAGAAATCTTGCTCATTAGGTTTGTTATGTCTTTCTCTTTCCTCTACGTTTTCTAGGTATTTTTATGTTCTTGTCTGAGCTTTTTTGGTTTGGAATAAAATGTAGAGATGAATTGAATTTTTCTCAAAAGATAATGTTACATGGTGACATGGGCATTATGGAACCAATGATATCAGTGGGTGTTTTTGGTTTGGTTTGTTTTTTTATTGGGTACTTATATTTCTCATGCCCCAATATTATATGTTAAAAGACCCAAAGAAATATGGCATAAATGCATTAATTTTTTCGAAGGATGATACAGCCTTTATTTGACAGATGGCATCCTCAGAAGGTTATTTAAAATAGCAAAGGTCCGCCCTAACCGGTGTGGCTCAGTGGATAGAGCGTCGGCCTGCGGACTGAAAGGTCCCAGGTTCGATTCCAGTCAAGGGCATGTACCTTGGTTGCGGGCACATCCCCAGGAGGAGGCGTGCAGGATGCAGCTGATCATTGTTTCTCTCCCATCGATGTTTCTAACTCTCTATCCTTCTCCATTCCTCTCAGTAAAAAAAAAAAAAAAAAAAAATCAATAAAAATAAAAACCAGCACATGTCCCCTAATGCTGCAGAAAAGGGGCTGAGTTTGTATAGTTTGTTTTTCTGCCCCTCCCTCAGGCACCACACCTACCTCCGCCAGGGAGGCAAGTCTGTGGGGCATTGATAGATTCCTTGTTTTATTAAATTTTTTTTCTCGGACGTTTGATGTTGAGAAGTAATCTAAACCGGCCATATATCAATGAGCATCTTCATAAGCGGTGCCTCTCACATGTGTGGAGTTGCCCTGAGTTTTTTGAGGGCAGAAAAATGAAGAGCGTATTCTTCAGCGTTGACAGGGCCTGCAATATGATGCTTAATTTAAAGCATCAATCACGCCCCTCCCCCACTCACCCCAATAAGGTTAAAAAATACAATTCTCCACTTTCTCAGTGATGTCCCATAGTTAGCATATACAGAAATCTCCGTGTGGAGAGATCCCAGGATTTGGAGACATGATTCCATATTAAACTTAGCCCTAGATGGTTTGGCTTGGTGGATAGTGTTGGCCTATTCCGGGTTCAGTTCCGGGCAGGGCACATGCCCGGATGTGGGCTTGATCTCCAGTAGGGAGCATGTAGGAGGCAGTTGATCAGTGATTCTCTCTCATCACTGATATCTCTCTCTCTCTCCCTCTCTCTCTCCCTCTCTCTCTCTCTCTCTCTCTCTCTCTCTCTCTCTCTCTCTTCCTCTCTGAAATCAATAAAAATATTTAAAAAAATAAAAATATCTTAAAAGCAAGAACAGGAATAACACAACTGACCCTTGCAAGACACATACATGCACACACACACACACACGCACACACATTCACACACAGAGGGCACAGGCACTCACACACAGAGGGCATTTGGGAAACAAAAACAGTTCCCTGTGGAACATCATGTGAGTATAGTTTAGGAACAATTTTAATATGAAATCTTAAGGATCGCTTATCTAGGATTCCTTTTGTGGCCAAAGAACACGAATGACAAAGACATTGAAAATTTGTGCTGGTCTGTTTTTTTTTTTTTTTTTTTTTAAGCCTTAGATATTGGCGTGTTAGCTGTGTCTAAAAAATGTACTTTTTCTTCAAGTCCTTTCACCAGTTTTTTCACAACTCGATGTACCTGCCTTTGATTAAATGTCAGCGGCTCTTTCTCTGTCCACCGGAAGTCACAGGCACATGTGGAAGGCAGACCTCACTGTCTGTTCGGGAGGTGTTTGGCAGTTGTAGCTCAAAGGCTAACAGTATTTCCCTGGAGCTGAAAAAAGTTACAATAATCACTTTTCCTGGAGGAGGAGATTTTTTTAAATTATTATTTCAGAGCAGAAAGGAGAGGGAGAGGGAGAGAGAGAGAGAGAGAAACATCAAGGACGAGAATCATCATTTGGCTGCCCGCCTCCCACTTAGGATGGAGCCCACAACCTGGGCCTGTGCCCTGACCAAGAATGGAACAATGACCTCCTGGTTCATAGGTC